CATTCAACGAGTTCGTTCTACAACGAAAAGATAAAAGACACCAGCAGCTATTGGAGAAAATTATTGAATGCCTTTTCCTCTAGGAGCTCTCCCCGCACAAGAAAAAGCTTTATTTGATTTGATATTTGGTTGATAACAGCAACAGCAGCAGAGAGAGCAGTCAAAGAGAGAGAGAGTGTGAGAGAGAGAGTGAGAGCAGAGTAAACATCAAGTGCGATCGAATTTAGAAATGCCGGCATTCTGGGAGAGACTCTCCCCTCTTGCACATGTGTTTTGGTTTTTTGTGGCTCTCTTTGCGTTGCTTTGCCTTGTGATTTCTTTTTTATAAGTTGATTTTGGGCTTATCCGATGATGCCTCCGCACACAGCGGCTCCCTCGCTCCTGGCGCCCGTTAATGGAAATTCGAAAATTTGGTGCGGATATTTTTAACATGACCCAAATGCCGGTGGGATCCAGCCACCAGAAAAATCCTCTGACGAAACTTGCCCGAACAGCTGCACCCGTCCCGTCCCGGACCGCCACCCACTCACCCACCCAACCGCACGCACGTCCGCTGCTGCTGCTGCAGCATACGCCAGAGAGGATCGTTCGGCTATCGCTTCGTTTCGTTTCGTTTCGCCTTGTTTGGCTGACAACAAGAGACAAAGGAAACGATGGCCAAAGGCAAGCGAAGAGGAACAGGCAGGGTCTACGGAGGAATACCCTGTAGTGGTGTCTGATTTCTGGTGGAGATTACAGATCAACACACACACACACAAAACAGAAGCAGCTTGGCAAATATTGTGGCAAATGGTTAAACCGCGCCGCGCAGACATTCGTCATTATTATTATTGTTATTATTATTATTTTGATTTTCTGCCTTAGTCAGAAATTAAACACTCTCTGCACATACATATCCCCGCGCCGCGATATGTGTAAAGGGTATCCTCCCGAGAAAAAAAGCACGCAGTTTGCGCTGCTTTCTCTTCGTGTGTTTGGGGGGTGGGAGGGAGCCTCTGCCAGCGCCAACGTCACGGCTGCGTGCATATATTTTTGTTCTCCTTGCTGCTCTCCTGGCGTGCCTGTCTCAGCGGGTGTACATGTGTGTGTGTGTGTGTGTGTGCAGGCCCCTTGATAAAATTGTGTGTGTCATCCCCCGTTCGCCTCCCACACCGCCACCTCCGCGCACTCAATTAAGCTTATCGCGCACTGTCCGTGTCCGTGTCCATGCCTGTCCCTGTGTGTGTGTGTGAGTTGGGGATATTTGTTTGCTGTTCGTTTTTGTTGTTGTTGCTGTTGCTGTTGCTTTCTGTTTAGAGGTGACTTTCCTCTGTGCACGCTCCTTGGAGGCGGCTACGCAACGCGAGCGAGGAAAAAAGTACGAGTATCTCTGCCTGTCACTGCCCCCGGCCCTGTGTTTTGTGTGTGTATGGGTGAATGTGGCAGCATTGGTGGTGTCGTGTGCAATCCGGCCCCAGAGAAGCGGACGCAATCGACAAAAAATCCTCTTTGAGAGGATTAAAATATACACACAGCTTTTTGTTGCTGTTGTTTCTTATTCTCATGTGCTCTTTGCCTTTTGCGCAATGGGGGGACAGTGGAGCAAAAGTGATTGTGCGGCAAAAGGATTGGCGCTCAATAGAATATTATTTATAGAGATACATACATACATACACATGAATGTATCTAGGGATTTATATATGCATTTTCCTTGTAGGTTGAGACACCAAATGAAACGGATCAGACTCCTGGCTTTGGTTTTTTCGAACAAATGAGCAAAATAAGTTTATTCTTATGCTGTTCTTCACTCTGTTCTGCCTAGGATAGCCATGCATACATATGTATGTGAGAGCCTTCGAACCACTGTGCCTGTGCCCCTTGCAACGCCAGCGGCCTTCCATCGTCCCATAAACGGACAATGTCCCCTGCCAAAGCTTAAGGGTAGCCACCAGCGGCGACTGCAACTGCGCCGCTTTCAATTACCTTTCATTTGCATTTCGCGCAGTTGCTTATTCCTCTCTCTCTCGCTCTCCCTATATCTTTTTGCTGACGTTGCCTTTTCCCTGATGCAAGTCGGATGCCTGCTGTCCGTTCTCCTTTTTGATTTTCCCGTTCTCATGCAAAATAGGAAACGCCTTGTGTGTGTCTGTGTGTGCGTGTGCGTGTGTGGGTGAGTGTGGCCTCCGCCACAGGGCGTATACTTGACGCGGACATTGAGCTGCATCGACTGCGAAGCCGACGGCGTTAATTGAATTAAGGCGTTGCAAAGGCTTAAGGCAACAGCAAACGGAAATTGCGAAACGAGGCGAAGGTGGGAGGCGCGAGGCACGAGGCACGTGTGTGCAGGCCGAGAAAATCCTTTTTGGCCAAGAGACAACAACAAAACAAAAACAAAAACGAGCTGGCCCAAGCTGGCCCAATTCCTCCCGGTTTCAACGGATTTTTTCGTTGCAAATGGTTGCTCTTTGGCTTCTGTTTTTCGTTGTTGCCTCCTTCTGTTCATTCCGCTGATTTTCTTCTTGGCCACATTCTCTTTTCGCTGATGCTTTCTGCCTGAATTACAAAACATATTTTGGTCACTGACCTTTTCTTTTCTGTTGCCTTTGCCGTATACTTTTTTCGTGCCTGCTTTTAGAGTTCTTTTTTTTTGTTTGGGATATGTTTTGTGGTGTTCCACTTTTAAATTTGGGTTTCAACAGTAGTTGGCCTCAGATTACTAATTAAAACAGGAGATTTACGAGTCCAAGTCCGAGTTCGGACTCGGAGAAAGAAACGGAGAAACACGGCCAACGGAATGGCGATCAAAAGCACGTCAGTTGATAAAAATCAAAATTACATTCATCAAAAGTGCAACAAGACTTATCCAAGAAAAGGAAAGGAGTCGCGAAAAGAAAGAAACAATCTGAATATATGTACATACATACATACATATGTATGTATGTACATATTCATGCATATAGACATGTTTGTTTAGCCTTTTCCTTGGGCTGCTAGCAGCAGCTGCAGCCTGAAAAGTGAAATAAATATGCGAGTACGAAACAGCTTTAAATAACAATCATTAAGGAGCGTATTGTGTGACTGACTGACTGACTGACGAGTACGAGTACGACTAAACTGCCGATTCCGGTTCAGAGCAATTTTTACGAATAATGATCGAATAAGCTTTGTCTAAGCTAACTATAATTGATCAAATTTGATCAGGTTTCCTTTTCAAAGAATGTGCCCTACAGGTAATTCGTTTTATAAATTATCTGTAGGACATATCATCTGTATTTTTTGTTCAAAAATATACATACATATGTATAATTTTAGACCGAAAAGACTTGGGGGGAAAACCCATGATGTCCCTTGCAGTGGGCATAAAAATGAAAGAGAAGAACAGACAGGAAATCAGTGCGACGAAGAATCCGAAATATTTGTGAAAACAGCCACGCGCGTTTTGTTAGAGAGAGAGCAGACTCTCTCTCTCTCTCTCTCTCTGTCTCTTACGGGGCGTCTCTCTCTCTCGCCCGCTATCATTTTACTCTCTTTTCGATATTGCGTATACGACGCTTGGTACTTTTACTTGTTGACTTTTGTTTTGGGGGAATTTTTACCGCTGCAACACGCAGCAACGACAACAAACAACGTTTGTTAGTCATTTCTTTCTGCTCGCGTCGTCTGCTGTGGCTGTTGCCTTCTTCTTCTGCTTTAACTGTTTCGATCGCCGGCTGAATAACAGTTATAATTTGAGCATAATTTCGACGACTGAGCGCAAGGTGGTGGTATGTCTGTCCGTCTGTCTGTCTTACTGTGAGTGTGTGTGTGTTTGTGTGTGGGTAAAAAGCTTTTAGAAAGAGCTAGAGAGATATAAGAGAGCGTGTTGCTGTTGTTACTGTTGTTGTTGCTGTTGTCGTTTCATTAACAAAACAACCGCAAAATTTATGTGTGATCGGAGGCTTTGCATTCGTTTCCTTTTTGCCCCAATGAAAAATAATAATTCATGATATTTGTTGTTGTTTCTGGTGTGTGAAGTGGGTTAGCCAGACGGCAGACGGCAGACGGCAAACGGAGATTGGAGATTGGAGACTGGAGACTGCGACTGTAGATGGAGATCGGGTTGAGATTTGCATAATTGAATTTGTGGCCCGCGTGCACAGGTGCTAGAGTTGTCTCTCACAGGGCCACCAGGGTTGTCTTGTCTCCGCGCAGCACCGCGGAAGCTCGTGGAAGTTGCAATCAAAGATCACTCACTCACTCATTCATTCATTCATTCAGCTAATCATTCACTCTGTCACTCATTTACACTGTCATTCATTCATAGAGAAATTTGCTAAAGCAGGGAGCGGGGGGATCAGGCAATGGCCCTGGTATGGAAATGGATAATGGAATGTTCCAGGCCACTGGAAGCCGAAGCCGAAGCCGTACCGAAAGGGGTGCGGCTGCTGGAATGGGGAACTGGAACTAGAAGTGGAACATGGAAAGTGGGCGGAGAGGGATACAAAAAAAATAAAAAAAAGGAAATGGGCGACGGAAAATGACAAAGATCACTGAAGCAAGACCGACAAATAAGCAGCAGAGACTGAAAACGGACGTTTCTATGAGTGCGAGTGCGAGTGCGAGTACGAGTGTGTGTCTAGTATCTGGTATCTAAAGCGGTGGCGCATTACTCCCCACACAACAACAACAACAACAGCAGCAGCAACAGAAACCGAAACAGCAGCAGCAACATTGTGGGCCTGTGTGTATCCATCAGATACATTAAGTGCCTGACGGCCCTGCCTTGTTGATGTTGCAGCTGTGTGTGTGTCTGTGTGGGAAATAGCTGGGGGGAAAATGTATCTGGCAGGCATTATAGATTCGTATTAGATTGCAAATGAGCCCCAAAGGAATTTCAATCAAGTTTTCAGTTCAGATTTAGAGCTGAATGCTTCTTCCTTTGTTTTCTTTTTTCTTTTTTTCTTATGAATTATTTCACTTGGCGGCTCAAAGTTCGAGCGAGTACACTCCGTAGTTCCTGGAAAGATCTTTGCCAAACTTACCGATTCTTGGAAGATTCTTAGTAATCCGTAATCCGCTGCCGTCGCCTGCTGTTGGTTAGTTTTGCAACACTAGAGCACTTTTTGGATTCGATTGAATGTGTAGTTGTTGCTGCTGTTGCAGTTGCTGTTGCTGTTGCAGTTGCGAATCAAATCATAAACAGTTGTGCAAAAACATAGGCCACAAGCGAATATATGTAGGAGACGTGAACGGAAGGCAAACACGAACATAAAGCCAAAACGAAATGCAAAATAATAAAAGCTTCAAAGCTTGGGGCTGCAGGGAAACGCCGCGTACTTGGACTATCAACGGCGGCGCACGAATCTCCAATCAGAACTGAAACGTAGGGATGCCGTGTGGGTCCCTGGATGCCGAACGACCGAAATGCCGAAGAGTGCTCGACCCGAAGACGGACACAGACACAGACACGAGTGCCAACCGAGAGCGTTGATCACGAAACACGAACTGAGCGGACGTTTCTTTGGGGCTGCGACTGCGACTGGAGCTGTGGATGGGGTCGGGTCTGGTCTGGTAGCTGGCTGGTGGGGTTGGCGGGCTTTCGGTCTGGACTTGTGTGTGTCTGTATGTATGTGTGTGTGTGTGTGTGTGTGTGTGTGGGGGGCTGCCACGACGACGAACATGCGCGCGCCTGTTTTGTGCTTTGCGGGACTGGCCTGCCTGGCTGGATAATAATATCGTACGTAGCTCTGCTCCCGTTTCGCGTTTTGTAATTCAGAGTTTCAAATGTGATAAATGAGCATTGCCCCTCTCTCTCTCTCCCTCTCTGAGGCCAAGCCTTGGGCCGCAACTAAATAAAAAAACAAAAACGCAAGTGGATGTGGACGGACGAGCGGATGAAATGGAATGGATGGAGCATTCGGGAAATGGTTCGAAATGGCCAGCAGCGGAGCCCAGCAGTCGGGCCGCCGAAAGCGTTGCAAACGCAGAGAAAAGAGAGTAAGAGCGAGAGAACAGCAGCAACTTGACATTTTGACTTGCTCACACGCGCACACATACACATGCGCAACAGCGCGCCCCGCTGCGTTGGCGCTCTGCCCTTACGTGTGCGGGGCTCTATGTGGGTCTCTCTCTCTCTCTCTCTGGCTTGCTCTCTCCAGCCTGATGATAAGCTTATGTTGAAATAAAGCTTGTTCCTTCGCTTCGCTTCGCTCCGCTCTGCTCTGTTCCGCTGTGACCTGCTGCCACAACCCAACCCTACCTCTTCCCCATCCCACCTTCCCTTGAGCAATGCAATGCATTTCGGTGGTGTGCTGCTGTTGCTGTTGCTGCTGCTGCCTCAGCGTATTACGAAATATGACAACAATGCAGTTTCGTCGTCCTCGTTTCGTTCTGCCGACGCTGCGGCTTCTTCTTCGTCGTCGTCGTCGTCGTCGTCTTCGTTGTCTTCTTCTGCTGCTGCTCTTTTCTTTTGCTCTTTCTGTTTCTGTTCTCTCTGTTCGTTTGCATGCTCAGCACAAAAACACAACTCTCTCTCTCTCTCTATCAGTCTCTTTCAAGTGGGTGGCTCTCTCTTCTCTATCCCTCTCTTTGCACCACTTGCAAATTGATTGCATTTCAATGAAGTTTCTGCGAGGCAGCTAAAAATAGCGTCGTGCGGGGGAAATCTCTAGCATGGGATGGGAGGCGGGCGGGCGCATTCCAAGTGCAACAGCAAACAACAACAACAGCGATTCCAAATGCCATCCATCTATCCATCTATTACAGAAAAACGGGTTCCGATCAGAAGCGTGCCGGCGGCGGCGTCTCTACATTGCTCTCCCAGTCGGTCGGTTGGTCGGTCGGTCGATCGGTCGGTTGGTCGTGCGTCTAACTGAAACCGAAATGACTCGATATTTTCCCCATCGATCGACTTGGGTCGACTGGGGCTGCTGGGGGTGTCCCCCAGGTTGAAATTGTGGCACACGTAACCCACCTGAACGGACAGCGAGAGCGGCCTGCAACTTGGGTAAATTTCAAGCGAACTGGCGGGGGCGTTACCCAAAGCCTGATACACGCCGAGGGGCGTATCGGGTTATTTGTAAGCATTTAAAGGATCATTAGATAATGCATGGGAAAGATCGTCAATCATTTGGCTAAGCAAATGATCGACCCATTATGGAAATGCCATAAGATGCCATGCCATAAGATACCTAATGGATTCTTGATGGAAAATTGTGTCTGTCTTCGGGAGGAGTTTCCAGGGTTTTTATGTAGCGAAAATCATTAACTAAATATTGAATTTTGGCCTTCATATTGCTCGTTTAAACCCCAAAGAATCACTTCCTAGATATGGTTTCGATTCAATGTTAAATTTCGTTGGAATAGTTAGATAATTATTATAATTGTTGGCCATGAATCATCCAGCCAGCAGCGAAATGATTCATCAGAGCGGACTACGAAAGTGCATCCAGCGATTCCCCATTTGCATTCCCTTGTGAAATGCTCGGTGTGGCTCGGTGTGGCAAGTCCCAAGGGGTCTCTAGGTAGGGCCCTAATTGCGGGCAGTGCCCGCGAGAGTAGAGAAGTACGACTCCGAGACTTGGGGGTTCTGGGGCCTCAGGTCGATCAACAGGTTTGCCTGCCAGCCGGGCCCGGGCCTGGGCCCTGGCCATTTACTACACGGCTTGATTTTTTCCCGCTATTCAAAGTGCCACCAGCTGAAATAAATTAATTGCTTAATTGTTGTTGCTGCTGCGGCGGCATTATTTGAGATGAAATTTGCTTTTAATTAAGAAACTCTCCACGAGGGAGGCGACTCTCCAACCTTCGGCTGTGTTGCCAGAGCGTGCGTGGGGGCGGAGGGGGGTTCCTCTCCGTAGCTGCAACTGTATCTGTATCTGTATCTGTGAGTGTTTCGTATCTATTTGTTTTATTAGACCAAAGTCGTGCACTTTGTTAACGAAAGCCTGGCTGGCTGACTGAGACTGAAACGCGTTCTGCGTGGGATTCTCTAAGACAAGTATATCGTCCGCTGTTTTTATTTTGTTTTGTTTTGTTACTTTTTTATTTGGGTTTTGGCCGATTCTAAAACTGGTTTTTCCCATCAAGGAGTCGGCCACCGCAACGAAATCGAATGGATGGTTGAATCATACAGAAACAGCAACAGCAAAGAGTTAAACAAAATTAAATTAAAAATTAAGAAATTTAGAATTGTATCCCTGTATCTCTGTGATTCATTTTATTTGGGATTTCCTCTTGAAATTCAAACGTTTTTTTCCTAACGCATTTAAGTGCTTGACCTGAATACCTCTCCAGGTGGCTGCAACTCAAGCTCCAGCTCCAGCGCCAGCTCCAGTGAAACTTCCCCAGGGAAAACTTTCAATGCAAAGAAGGAAACCAACCACTTTGCATCTCTCTCTCTCTCTATCCCACTCAGTTGGGGCTTGGTATTTCATAATCGAAACGAAAGCCGAGTGCTGCTGCTGCCTGTTGATGTTTCGAAATCTGTTACTCGCATTTCCTCAGACCAGACCACTGTTCGCTTCGCTTGGATCCTAACGCTACAGATACCAATGTATCCATGTATCTATGAATGTACGTTTCGATGTGTGTGTGAAGGTGGCTTTGCCCTTTTCTAAGTCTCGTCTAACGGGACCCAGGCCCCAGACGGATCCATCCCCACTCAAAGACGTCTTCGTCTTCGTCTTCTCCATCTCCATCTTTCTGTGCATTTTACTGTACCAGCATTTTTCTCACACTCCCCAAGCGGGCTCCACTTGGAACGCCAGCGGTAGTTTGTGGCTCCACAAAGAAAAGCTGATTCGACGGTGAAGTTGCGGGCTGCGTGGGGGGTGGGGGGAAAGGTGAAGAAGCGGCAGGAAGTGGCCAAAGGTTGGCTTAAGGTATACTCCGTGCAGAGAGCATGGATAGGGTTTTTCTTTTCCCCCAGATCTAGGGAGGATTTCGTTTTTTCATACAAAAATAAAGATATAAAAATAAATCAGCTAAAAATAAACTATATTCGATGACTATTGTAATGAGCGAACTTTCAGGGTATTTTTTATTTTTTTTTTTTTTTTTTTCTTTTTTTTTTACTTTTAATTTAAATTATTTGAATTTGTATGAGGCTGCTTTTCTAACAGTGAGCCTTGATTTTACCTATGTATATATGTATACATGCTGGGGTATATATGTATGTATATATTCATTATATAATATCAGCTAATTAGTGACCTCTCCGCAGCAACAATAATTTCAGCAGCACTCGTATTTCTGCTCCTCTCATGTCCATGGCTTTCAATCGAAAAAAAGAACAGAATTAAAGACAACAACAACAATCATAATTACGTGGCTAACCTTAAGAGTTGACACAAATCCGGGCTGGAGCCCGTTCCCAGCAATTAACTTCAAATGACACCAAATGCCACCGAGGCACGCCACGCCACGCCAGGGCCCCACAGTGCCACAGTGCCACAGTGCCACAGCAAGCAGTCGTTGAGTCGTTGAGGCGCCGCCCACCAGCACAGCCGCCAAGCCAAAGCCAAAGCCAAGCCAGGCCAAGCCATGAGGAATATCGCAAGTGAACGGCAACTTTGATGACGCCCACAAGGCGACAATAACGTTGTTGCTGTTGTTGTTGTAATTTGTACCATAGATGATGATGATCATCATCATCGATGCTGGGTATGGGCATGGGCATGGAGCATGGGAGCATGGGGCATGGGCCAGTTTGCGGTTTATTTGATCAGCATTCGAGCATTCCATTGATTTGTAAGAAAAGGGAAAATCGATTGAAGGAAAGAGACAGCGATAGAACGGAGGAAGTCTTACAGTGCTGTAATATTTTCTGCGAGATGTATCTCGCAGATACACAGAATCCATCCACACACATTCACATTCACACACTCCCCGTGAAGTGCAATTGAAATACTGTGTGAAATTTGTGCAGCTCCAAGCTTTGTCTGAGGTACAGTGATAGTCCGCTCAAGCGAACACCAACCAAATCCATCCAAAGGGTACACATACTTTTAGAGATCAGTGTGGCTCGTATAGGATCTAGGATGGAGCATCCACTGTGCAGCACAACCACATCTATTAGTACACGCTTTGCCTTGCCTTTGTGCCTCTTTTGTAGCCACTCCACTGTATTCCCCTGCCCACCACTGTACTCCCCTGCACTACCACTGTACTCTCCTCTTTCCCTTCACTGCCCTCCAGCCGCCCCTTCTGGGCCGCACTTTGATTCGTGGCTCATTCAATTCAAATACTTCGTGATTTCGTCAGCCCGATTTTGTTGCTGCCACTGCTGCTGCTGCTGCTGCTGCAGCGTATTCGAGGCCATTGAGAGAAGCAGTCATGGCAGCGGGGGGTCGGGGAAGATACATAGCTGAAAGTACGACTTTAGCTGCTCTTTGGCGATGCAGTTGGACGACGGCTACGACTACGACGACGACGGTGGCGTTTACTGTCAAGAGATTTGCAGTAGTTTTGAACCCTGTAATTGTAGAGATTCAAGGCGTATATTTGTTACATAAAAATCTATGCAACAGGCAGAAGAAATCGTTTCTGAACTCTTAACCGAGCATCGAATAATTAATAATTAATACTATAATAATTAATTTAATTCGATTGATTAGATTTAAAAATAAATAGCAATATATTTGTACACTTATGTTAGAATCAAAATAAAACCTAATATTTATTTTAAACATTATTGCTTAAAATTGAATGCAAGATTTTTGTGAGAAAAAAGTATAATAAATAAATAAAAATAAATAAAATATAAAATAAAATTGTTTGCCGTTCGCTTATGGGAAATTTCCACAACGAATCAACATCGCATGATGTCTGCTTCGACAACAGTGAGAGCGTGAAGTTTGTGGCTTCCCTACTAAGATTCTCAAGTGCCGGGTATCTCTGTGTCGAGACGCTCGACTATGTGTCGTTCTCTCTGGTTTCTGTTTTGGTTTGCTGCTTTGGGTGTCTGTGTGTGTGTGTTGTTGGTGTTGTGGCGTGATGACCTTGAGCCGCTCATTTCAGCCAAGTGGCTTTGTGTTGGCCAAGTGTCTGTCTGTCTGTCTTTATGTCTCTCCGAAGGTGTTACCCAGTTCCAGTTACTTTTGGCAGCTCTCCGCCGTGTGCATTCTATCTATTTCGCAATGAGAGACACGCAGAATGAGAGCGGGAAAGAGGGAATAAATGCGAGGAACACAGGGAGAAAGAGAGTATAGGAAATTGGGTGAGAAAAATCAATGCAGGCAATGAAACTTCTCTCAGCATGCCCTTCCATTTGATACTCAACTTCTTGACAGTATTTCTATATATAAATATATATGTTCCAATTTCAATGGAAATCTTAACTGGGAAACTCTTAGTATTTTAAATTGGCAGTGAAACCCCCAATGATTGCCTTTAATGTCGTTACAACAATCAAATGTTTGTTTGGTCTCTGCCCTGTGCATCGGCTGCCTGATCAGCGTAAGTATCCGCGGGAAGGAGCCCCCACCCACCATTTATGAACTCCTTTCTACCCCGAATAATTGCAGTTTATCAGAGCCGCGCCCATACTTCCAACTACATCTGATCCTGTCCAGTTGACGCCTCCTTCAACCACACTTTATCAGACTATTGCGGCTACTAGCCCACACCGGCTGCATCTTATTCCACAAACAAGGGCTGACGATGACTGGATCCCAACAGGATCGACATTTTATTCGCACAGCGCAACGAAAGTCCCAGTAAGGACCGCTTTTGCGGCATATATTATCTCAAACCTCACACAGATTGTACACTCGAAAACGCTCAGAGTCTGGCCTACACACGCCGAGCGTGTCAAGCTCGATCCCTTTTTAAGCTCAATCATTCAGAACTATGGAGCTGAGGCCACGACTGTTTTCAGGGCCATCCATCCGAGCTTTCGTTTTAGGCATCCAAAGAGACGCAAAGGCAATCTGACCCGGAACGCTTCGAGTTTCCTGGCAACCAGAACTCCGGGGCTGATGCCGGCCACAAAGGTTTTAAGACCAACCGATTCAATAAGCCCATCAGCAGCCAGATCTGATTCAAATATCGAAAAAGAAAACAAACACAAAAGGAAGAGTAAAAAGCGAGCGAAGGTTAGGGTCACGACGCCCCGTCCGAGCATTGGGGTTACGGATCCCGCCGAGACAGGGGAAATCGGAGTGCGTTCAGAAAACAGAAATCCAGGACTGGTGCTGCTGGGTGTTCGTGCGACCCGCAAAGCTCGACACCGCAGTACACCCTCAGGATCCAAATCAGATATTGATATCGAAGAAAAAGACGAAGACGAAGAGGAAAGACAAAAGAGTACAATGCGTTTGCGCGGAAGTAAGAATTCACGCAGAAAGCAGGCCGTAAACGGACATACAAAAAACCGTAATATTTCCATTCCCATGGAGCTTACGCTACCGTTGAAATATCTGGCCCGGGCGGGATATGGGGAATCCACGGAGGAACCATTTATACAGACCGAACCACCCGTATGGAAGGACACACGGTACCATTTCCAACACCAGAGTCGACAGGCCCGTCTCCGCTTGGATTCGAATCCCATGGTGGAATACTATCCCGATAATGAGAAGATGCGAGAAGTGTGCAGAGACCAGTCGACCATTATCGGAACGGATATTGTTACTGGCTATATTAAGCCACATATCTATCAGAAGCACTACGAGGAGAGAGTCCTTTACAATGAATTTCGGGAAAATTGGTATGACATAGCTCCCATTTTGTTAATGTGCCACCATCCTATAAATAGTCCAGTCGTTAAGTATTTGAGATGTGTCATTACCCGGCACAAGATGATGGAGTCCATGCTACCCAAATATCCCTACCACCAGGTCCAAGAAGCTCTACCATAAGCAGGGCTAAAGCTGCAACAGAGCAACAGAACACGCTGCCATTATGGGGATAGATGGACCCATCCATTCTCTTGTCTCTTTGCCCAAATACTTACACAATTACTCCATTTTGTAGTCTGTGAAAATCAAATAAAATCGATGCGGAACATCTCTCGGTCACTGCTCTCAGTGTGCCCTTCAATTTTTTACTTTTATTTATTGACATTATTTAAAGACTTGCTTCCATTTACAATTGAAATCGTAACAAGGAAGTCTCTTAGTATTTTAAATTGGCAGTGAAACCTCTAAGGATCGGCCCCAAATGTCGAGACATTTGGTCTCTGCCCTGTGCATCGGTTGCCTGATCAGCGTGAGTATCCGCAGGGAGGATGACCTCCATCATTACTGGGCGATACTCTACCTCTTTCTACCCCGAATAAATGCAGTTAATCAGTACCGTGCCCATACTTCCACCGTTCACATATCCTGACCAGTTGAAGCCTTACTTAAGCTCAGTCCATCGGCATACTACGGCAACGTTCCAGCCACTGGCAACCGCACACAAGGCACTGAAAACGGCCAACGCTTCCATTTCCAAACTCAATGCCACAACTCAAAGGCCTAGAGTATTGAGTGCAACAGGCGGCAAAGAAAGGACTGCTTTTCGGGCATATATTTCCACAAACCTCACACGGATTGTACATCCGAATACGCTGAAAGTCTGGCCCTCACACGCCGATCGTGCCAAGGTCGAGCCCTTCTTAAACGCAATCATTCAGAGTAGTGGAACTAAGTTCACGACTTCTTTCAGGACAATCCATCCGAGCGTTGTGGTTAAGAATCCACCTTCCAAATTTAGATCGATCAGAAACCAAGGGCTGATGCTGGCTCTTCGCCCAAGCACAATCGCACAAAATCTCAGTAGCCCATCAGCTGGCAGAAAGCAGCAGGAGGCAAAGGGACAGAAGAGGATCCGTAAAGTTCCCATTGAGCTTACACTACCGATGAAATATTTGGCCAGGGCGCGAACGGTGACGGATCAGTTTGTATATACCGACCCACCGGTGTGGAAGGACACGCGCTACCATTTCCAACACCAGAGTCGACAGCCCCGCATCCACGTGCAGTCGAATCCTTTGGTGGACTACTATCCCAATAAAGAGATGATGAGCACCGTGTGCGGCGACAGGTCAACCATTATCGGCACGGATATAGTCACAAACTACATTAAGCCGCATATCTACCAGAAGGCCTACGGCAAGAGAATTCTTTACAATAATATGAGAGCGAATGGCACATTGACTATGATGTTGATGTTCTGCCATCAGCCTAAAATTGTTCCTGTCAAAACGTTTCTGGAGTGCATCATTATGCGACACATGATGATGGAGTCCATGATACCCAAATATCCATACCATCAGGTCCAGCAAAAGTTATAGACGAAAACTGTTTCAGGCAGATAATCCACAGTGTCTGGGACAATGTAGTTCGGCTGATCATCTCGTATCTAGGGATTAGCATTGATTTTAGTACTAAGATCATCGTACACATTGCCCTTTCATTCCCCCCAATGGTATAGTCACATTTAAATATAAAATTCATAGTGCTACATGTATATGTTATATATTTATTTTTTATTTTTTTATTTTTTATTTCTCAAATTTCCCGTGAATACATTTATTAAGATACGCAAAAATGTACAAGATAATCGTGATGGTTTTCCTGTGCCTGTGTTGCTTTATTACCGTAAGTCGATCAAACCAAACGAGTTGGATAGTAAACCAAATTTCAAGCTATTCGAAATCCTCCCTCAGATGAAACCTTTGAATCGCCGTCATCATAAAATACGACCACCGAATATGTCGTACACTGTGGCTGGAAATCAAAGTGGATTCCTGGGCGATTATGACCTGGGACTAAGGGACCAGGGGAAGGATTCGATAAGTGCGGGTCGGGGCATTCGACTCTTTCAATATCCACCGCCAATGAACAATGACCCAGTGGCCAAGAGGGAGGACCCAACCACGAACGGACCAAAAACGGAGGAGACCACAAATTCCCGCCGTACCCCTCCTAGCACTAAGAACTATGTCCAGCTCTGGGGACTATCCGTGGATGATGAGGGGAAACTCAAGCCAAGGGCAAGAGACGGAGATGGGGGAAATCTAATCGAGCCTAAAGCTCAAGAGACGACAACTGGCGAAAAAGTTGAGAGGGAACCAGAGGACGACGAAGATGGAGTCCAGAGTGATGAAGAGGAAAATAGTGGAGATGCAGTATCAGGAAATGAGTTGAGAGAAGATACCACTAGCAAGGTCATGAAGCAGAAGATGAGAGCTGCAAAACCAGATCCAGACATAGAAACAGAAACAGTAGACGAAGAGGAACGAGATGATGACGACGATGAGAATGATAGCGAAGGAAGTCCAATGAAACCGGATGAAGAGTCTGAAGGAGGTGACAAAGCTGATTTGGGGAAATCAGATGAGAGGTTCGGCTTCAAGAACCTTCTCACATCGAAATCAAGGATAGGCCCTCGCGTTGGTGGCCGTGTACAGGATGCGGCATATGAAATCACCTATGCCAACAATTGGAAGGACACGCGCGTAGAGGAGTGGCGCAGTGCGCTGGCTCGTGCCGCCATCATGTCCGATCCCCTTGAGGACTACTATCCGTCGAATAAGAAAAATCTAAGCTCGGTGTGCAACCAAAAATCGTCAATAATGAATTTCCCAAAAGTCTTCAAGTGGCTGCACAAGATGATCCTAAATATCACATACCATCAGCGGCCCATTTATATCGAGCTGAGGCGGGAGCTCTACGAATTCGGCCAATCGGAGTTGTGCCACAAACTTACAATGAAGAAATGGCAGGATTATCAATACTGTGCCCTCATCCGCAATCAGCGGATGGATTACATGATCCCCCATTATCCGCTGCACCAAATCGGCTATCGTCTCCTGTTCAAGGCTCAGAGAGGCAAATAACTTTACATTTATTGTCTCTGACAAGCAAATAAAATCGATGCGGAATATTTCACCTCTTACCTCACAACACTCGCACTTTCCACTTATCACTTATCTCTAAAACTTTTTTGCGAGAGCAAACTGAGCAGTCCGGGAAGTATACTGCTTATACTTTTAGTACAACTTAGACAACAAAAGCAAATAACACTACACCCACACGATGAAGGTAAATTATCTAGTGTGCATGGCCATCGGATGCTTGAGCGTAAGTACCATCCCATATCGTTTTCCAAACCCTTCGATGCCACAAATTAAGTGTCCGCCAGGTGCATGCCTTGCCAGTGTCCTCCACTGAACTGAGCGAAGAACTCCACTCCTCCTCCAAATATCCTCATGACGAGTTGCTAACGAAGGCCAAGACTGATGCTGAAGATCAGGATGGTCAAAATATGCAAATGGCGGCTTATAGCTCTGGCTATGGTAGACTGGATAGGGAGACGGAGAAAATCAAACTTCGCATGTTTACCAAAATCCTTGGCACTACTGCACCAACCCAAGTGGAAAATACGTGGCCTAAACGCTCCGGGGTGCATGCTCTGCGCACCAAGCAGGAGCTCCACTTCTGGGCCAAGAATAAAACCACTAAAGCAGCTCCAAAAAGCAAAGATGATCAGATGGTGGTAGGTCGAGCTGGTGATGGTGCTGGTGCTGGAGACGGAGGAGGTAAGGAGACTGCTGCTCCTGATGCTAGAGCAGGCACAGAGATGACAATATCCCTGCCGCGTATGGTGACTGATCATATGGGTAATTGGGTATTCAATCCCTGGGGCGTCACCTTTGGGAAAGTTTGGGAGGATACTCGTTTTGCGTTCGATGGTCATCATTGGTTGCCATGGATCATGCAGGACTACGAAATAAAAGGCGACTATCGGCAGGAAACGCTTCATGGAACTGTGTGCCACGGCAAGTCGACCATCTACAACTATCCCAAAATATACAATTGGTTTCCAAAATATATCGATACGATTAAGCGCAGTCACCGCCCCGTCCTGTTGAATCTGAGGAGGGAGATATACACGGATGGCAGATCGGAGTCTTGCCACATTGCGGCATTGGACGATTGGTACGAGTACCAGCAGTGTGCCATATTGCGGAACATGCGTATGGATTATTTGGTACCCAATTATCCACTCCATCGTTGGTATAAATCAGAGTAGGCTGCAGTCCGTCTCTTTATCCCTGGTGCCACTTGACATTGATATTCCCACTGTATTGCGTCTGAAATAAAACTGCAAAATATTTGCTTTGTGTATAATATTCGATCAGTTTTTAATTTATTTTCTTTTTCTTTTTCTGGATTCTGGAATAAAAGGCAGGAGAAATACATAAAAAGTTTAAACCCAAATGTGCTTGTTTTCAAAAGAATCCTTAAATAAACGAGAATGAACGTGTGAGTCGCTAATGGGAACGCGACTCTACTTATACCCGTACTCAGATTTATGCATAATTTTAAAATATTTTAAATTTTACAGTTTTTTGCTACATCTGTCATCTACATCCAATGGTCATATAGTCTAGATATGGTCATTCTCTACGAATGCCTTTTTAGTTTTATCGTATCTTTAAAACTGTGCCTGCCACAGATTTTCGTACCGTGTGAGGGCTGGCCAAAATTTTGAAATACACTTGTAGCAGTGTGACGAAAATAGCAGTGTGATATATCATGAGTCTGGAAACAAAATTTGGTTGCTCTAGCTCTTATAGTCTCTGAGATCTAGGCGACTAACAAGACGGACGGACGGACGGACAGACGGACGGACAGACAGACTCGGCTATTGATGCTGATCTAGAACGTCGGACGCGATTCCTTCTCTACGTTGCACACATCAACTTTTACCACGAATACAATATACCCCTTAACTCTTTTTGAGTACGGTTATAAGAAACGCTGGCTCCTTTCCACACCGTTTGTTTTGGGCCGACTTTCCGACGACTATTCGTCATTCCGAACCAAACTGTACTATCTTACTATTATTACAAAAATAACGTTTTTTCCAATCATTTACAGTCCAAGTTTGGATGATTTTGGTTAATTTGAGTTTATTCTGGATTTTTTTTAGTGCCAAAATTGGTAATTTTGCTGGTCCACAACCGTTGAGCTTTGGTGCTAATATCGATACCTACCGACTAAATAAACTCCCTTCCAGTATCTCATGCCATTTTGAACCGATCTTCGACGTGCAAGCGTTTACGAATACAATCCTACTTTGAAGGTTCATTTGGGTGGTCTTCCTCTTCCTTCTGAGGCGGGAGGTCGGTCTACCGAGCATCAGTTTTCCTTTAGAAAGCCTTTAGAAAATTGTAGTCTTTTAGGACTTACTCAAACGAAACTTGGTGCTAATAATGCCAAAACTAAAAATATTTGACCGCAAAGTCAAAATGGCTGCCTTCTCAGTTTAAGTTTTTTTTTCGACATTTTTTACATTTTTAATTTTTGTTGAAACTTTTTGCTTTTTGAATTTGAAAACAAGTCATCAATTAACAGCTAATAAACGTATCTATGTAATAAAAATATTTCCCGACTGACTTAGATGTTTTTAAATTCGCGCCATCGGCTTAAAGTTAACTAATATTGTAGTAATATAAGTGGAGTACTGTAAATACTTAGAGAGACATCATTTAAATATTAAGGAGCGCGCGTAGGTATCGTTCACCAACTCGATACATGCAGTGGAGTTGCGAGTAGAATATATTAGAAGAATATGGTAGAAATAATATCGAGAGAGGAGGAAGGGGTGATGGTGATCGAGGCTGGACTTTTGGTTGGAATACGAGCGGCTGAAAACTCACGAAAGCGGAATAAAAAAAGATAAAACGAACTAATTTGTGCGGAGTTTTATAATTCTTGTACCCCCCTACAATATGAGTGTCAACATTTCATTGTCCGCTACTACTCGTATATGTATATCTGAAAACATTTTATGAAACTTGAAACCTTATACGTACCACACACAAACAACATCTGTACCCTGCCAGATTTCGCTGTGGCACATTCCCGTTTCATGGCTAATTTCAGGCTCAAGTTTAATCTTGAATTTATATGTATATATTTTTTTGCTTTTCCATTTAAGAAAATCGACTAACTTGACTTTTTGTAATGTCTGACAAAGAAATAAAATCGATGCGGATTTCTCACAGCACTCGCATTTTCCTCTTTCAAATCTTTGTAGCCTTTTTTCGAGAACAAACTGAGCAGCGCTGGAAATATACTGCTAATAATATCAGTATAACTGAGACGTCTCGTCTGGAGGGGCAGACAACAAAATACACTTGCAACAAAAAATAAATAATACTACACACAAACAATGAAGTTAAATTACCTAGTGTGCGTGGGTATCGGATGCTTGAGCGTAAGTAGCATCCCATATCGTTTTCCAATCACTTCGATGCCACAAATAAAGTGTCCGTCCGCCAGGTGATGACATTTATGGTGCATGCCTTGCCGGTTTCCTCCACTGAACTGGGCAAACATCCTCGTGACGAGCCGCCAAAGAAGCATATGACTATGACTGAAGGTAAAGATCAGGATGGGCAGAATATGCAAATGGCGGCTGATAGCTCTGTCCAGGGAAGACAGGAAAAGGAGCAGAACATGCAAATGGCGGCTGATAGCTCTGGCTATGGTAGACTGGATAAGGAGCCGGAGAAAATCAAACTTCGCATGTTTCCCAAAATCCTTGGCACTACTGCACCAACCCAAGTGGAAAATACGTGGCCAAAACGCTCAGGGGTGCATGCGCTGCGCACCAAGCAGGAGCTCAACTTCTGGGCCAAGGATAAAACCACTAAATCAGCTCCAAAAAGCAAAGATGATCAGTTGGTGGTAGGTCGAGCTGGTGATGGTGCTGGAGACGGAGGAGGTAAGAAGACTCCTGCTCCTAATGCTAGAGCAGGCACAGAGATGACAGTATCCGTGCCGCGTATGGTGACTGATCATATGGGTAATTGGGTATTCAATCCCTGGGGCGTCACCTTTGGGATAGTTTGGGAGGATACTCGTTTTGCGTTCGATGGTCATCATTGGTTGCCATGGATCATGCTGGACTACGAAATAGAAGGCAACTATCGGCAGGACAAGCTTCATGGAACTGTGTGCCAGGGCAAGTCGACCATCTACAACTATCCCAAAATATACAATTGGTTTCCACGATATATCGATACGAGCAAGCGCAATCACCGCAACGTCCTGTTGAATCTGAGGAGGGAGATATACACGGATGGCAGATCGGAGTCTTGCCACATTGCGGAATTGGACGATTGGTACGATTACCAGCATTGTGCCATATTGCGGAACATGCGTATGGATTATTTGGTACCCAATTATCCACTCCATCGTTGGTATAATACCTGATAGGGTGCAGTCCGTCTCTTTATCCCTGATGCCACTTGACATTGATATTCCCACTGTATTGCGTCTGAAATAAAACCCCAAAATATTTGTTTTGTGTACAATATTGGATCCGTTTGTAGTTTATTTTCTAACCTGCGATGGAATTTGTGTATGGGAAGACTTGACAAGGGTTTAGTCTTTAAATGTATTTTTACATAAATGTATATGTATAAGGACATAAAGCAATAATAGATAGATACGAATAATACTTCAATCTTTAGACCTTTGCTTAATATATCTGAACAAATTTTGTGAAACTCGAAACATTATACCACACACCAAAAACATTTATACAAACCACTGGGCAGCATTGTCCGGACGCACATGATGATAAATTATCTTGTCTTTGGTATTACCTGTCTAATCAGCGTAAGTTCATCTAACTTTTATTTGCTTCTTCGTTATCCAAAACTCTTCTTCTGCGCGTTGCGTGTGGGGATTAGGTAACGGCGTTTTTGTTCGTGGCGGAGGCAGCAAGTCTGCGAAATGTTCGTCCACGTCTAACCCTGTCAATGGCATCGCAGTCCAGGAGTGCCATGCAATCGATGCGGGAGTTTGCCCTGTATATGGGTCCCAAAGGGTTGGCTACTCCCGAGGAGTTGGCTCGACAGCGTGCAATGGATTTTCCCTTCGTATCCGCAGGACAACGCCAACTGTTGGCGGAGGATGAAGATTTGCCCTATGACCTGCGCAGTCAATTGCCAGAGTTCCAAGCGAAACAACAAAATGCTGGCCTTCGTCGTGTCATCAAGTGCAGAAGAAAGGCTGATGGATCAGTGGAGAGGGATGGGAATAGTGATGCTGACGGCTTTGGCAGTGATCCCTCAGACTTTGAGGGTTGTCATGCCTCAGATGACGATTTATCGGAGACTTCAGGTGCGGCATATTGCGATTTGATTGCGATTCGATATTTATTTTCAATCATATCGCTTGTCCCACTAGTCCCACTGCTATTTTAACTATTATAAATTCTGTTGAAGTACTATTTCTGGCGTACTGGCGTATTTTCTATGCGGCTCAGGCCTTCGTTTCAGGCCAAAAGAACGAAAAAAGTTCTCAATGCATTTGCATCGTTGGTTATTTCTTTGACCATTTTGTGCTGTCGCCGTTCATTGGTGTTTGCATTTTGGCGAAACTGTCACAACCGATGACCCAATTATGTGCTTGCGATTGGGGGTTGGGGCGTTGGGGCTCCACATTACAGACATACTAGTGTACGGGCTGCAAGGTATGCACGGATCTGTGTCTGTGTGTGTGTGTGTGTGTGTGGGGGGTTCACGTTTACTGAGTTAGCAAGAAGTGCCATACTGTGCCGTGCCGTGCCACTCTCAAATGTTGCAACTGCAGCGCTTCCATACACATCATTCGAGCGAAGCGATTTTTCATAAATAATTGGAGCAGTTTGCCAACGTAGCTCACGTTTTAGCTTCTTTTGTTTTGGGCAAGCCAAGGTAACACTTGGCCAAGGTAAGAACCAGCGACTCATACCGGCTCATTCAGCCTCAGAATCGAACAAAAACACCACCCAAAAATGTGGAAAATTCACCAAAAAAGAAAAATCTTTCACTGAGCGAGGCCTTATCGGAGTGGGAGGACAGAGTGGCAAGTCCTGCTGATAACGAAAAATCAATAGCCGATAAGCGTCCTGGTTATCACAGGACAGTGGCTTGTTATCTGTATCTTTGTATCTGCGTATCTGCCCAGGGGGTTGGTCCCAAAAGGGAAACACAATATTAATTACAATATTTAAATACATATATCCTGCCCCCGGCTATATCTCTCTCGACCAGAGGCCGCAATAAAATCAATAATTTACATGTGTATCGAAGGATCGAAGGAAATCGGAGGCCACTATTCCCCCCGCCTCCAGCTGCATTATCAGCGATTTGTTTGGGAGGGGCGTTGACCAGAGGCGGCTCTGCGGCTGCGGCTGCGGTTCTTCCATTTCGTTATCAGCGGCAAATGGGTATTTACCCATCGAGCAGCAGCAGCAGCAGCAGCAACAGCAAGTCTGGGACATTGTCCGACAATGACTTCAAAATCCTCCTGGACAGGGCGGAAGACCGCAGCAGCGGCTTATCACCATCGACCCGACGACGGAAGACGGACGACAGACGACAGACGATGGAGGACAGAGGACAGACAACACGCAGAATGGGGGGCTGGGCGTAAATAATACACAGCAAAAGGCAAAGGCAAAAGGCAGAGAGGCGGGGAGGCAGTTTCCTAGTTTTTCCTAGCCCTGAGGAAAACGCAGAAGAAAAACGTGCGATAGGCCAAGGGGCAAATAAAATAAAGAGAACACCAAGAAAAAGAGATGGAAAAAAAGAACCAAACAGAACAGAACAGAACAGAACAGAACAGAATAAAAGCAAAGTAAAGTAAAGTAAACCTTTGGCGCTGGCAAAGTGCATTCGCCTCGGAAGGGCAGTCAATGCCTGGAGGAGTCGGTCGGTCGCCTCTTGGCCTCTACAGCGTACAGTGGGATACCTCGCCTCGTATCATACAGTGGGGACAGTGGCATGGAGTGCACAAGTGATAAAGAGAGAGAGAGGAGGAGAGCAGAGAGAGAGAGAAGCCGCGTAGAATCCATTAGCAGTCGCAGGGAACTCCTTGCGGGAACGGAACGGGAACGGAGGGAGGCAGCAGCGAGCATGTGAATGGAAATGAAAATGGAAATGGATGGAAAATGGGTGCATATGGAGGCTACGCCAAGTGGCCAAGTCGCCAGCCACCGGGTGCATCCCGCGACTCTCCATTTTTCTCCTCTTTTTCTCCCACTCTTGCTGCGTAAGAAATACAAAAGGGTTCAATGCACGATTTCTTCTTGCTGCTCCTCCTCCTCCTCCTTCAGCTTCTCCCTCAGCGACTCTTGTGTGCGACTCGTTGCCATGGGAAAATCGCCGCAGGGAAATTTCCTCGGGCCTGGGCCAAATGACTCTCAGCAGGATCAACCCTCGCGTTCCCATTGCCCAATTACATTCAATTAAAAACTCAAACAGAATTCATGCCCTACAAAAAGCTGATTCTGCTGGTACTCTGCGCCAAAAGGATCGCCCGATTGTGCCCGACTGTGCCTGATTGCCTTAATTGAGGTCGAAAAGCGAATTCAATTTATAATTTCTTGCATTGAGCGAACGAAGGGAACACGCGTCAGGCTGCATGTCGCATAAGAATTGGAAATTATGCAGGATTCTGGGTATGCGTATGGGGGCAGGATCGATACGAGTACGAATATGTCTGGGATCTGGAATGATGGCACTGCTGCTGAGTGTTTGGGGGAAGGCACAGCAAGGGGATTGCCACTTAATTTCCCTCGACTTGCTGCTACTTTGTTGCATTTGCTGCATGCTCTATGAGGGTCTTAACTGTCCATTCGATCGTTCCAACTAATTATAAATAGCAACCGACTGGCAGGGCGATCCTCGTGCAGAGTTCATTGAACGTTGCCACAAGGGGGAAAAACCCAAAGAAAAATCACAAAAACCAAACAACGGAAAACCCAAACAAAAGGCGCAGCCAAATGAAGATAAGACAGAGGGAGAGAGAGGGATAGAAAGGCAGGATAAGCAAAGCGAAAAGGAACAATCGAAAGACGAAAAGTCAATGGCATAGAAAGGAGCGATGCGATGCGATGCGGACAATGAATGCTGATGAAGTCAGCAAGGACGCTTGCCGATCACGTGGACCAGAGACAAAAGGATACCGAGATACGAGATTCGAGATTCTCCGATATATCTGCTGAGATGTGCGTGCTGCGATACGCGTGTGTTCCACGAAGCAGCCAAGCAACAACAGCAACAACAGCAGGACACGCCCACGCACACAAGTAATACGATCCCCTAACGATCCTCCAGACAATCTCTTCGGCGAGTGTGGTGTTGAGTAATTTGTGGGCTGCCTGGCGATAAAAATCTGTTAATCGATGGACAAACATAAACACAGAAAATGAAAGGAGGCGAGGCAAGGCAAGGCAAGGAGTTCCAGGAGCGCGCCAGGGGTTGACTTAACCCCTAGAGCGTGCACAAGGGTTGGACGTTAGGTGCGGTAGGGGGTGCGAATCGGTAGCTCCTTCTGGGCAAATGCTGGCGGTGGTCTATTTCCGTCTACATATGTACAATACATGCGAGTGTTATGTGGGTCCACACATCTCATCTCGGGGGTTGTAACCTTGCCTCATTTGGGGGTAAGCTTAGGCTATTTTCGTACATCAATGTGTGTTTGTCAGTCTTCGTTGGGATTTCCATACGACAATTAAAACAGAACAAAGTCCAAGTACCCGCAGATCGGTAGCGGTTCCTTCCTTCCTTCTGCCTTATGGCAGGACATCCCCTGCAATCCCCCATTCGAACATTTCGTGTGACCTTTGGGCATTGCATTAATTGATCTGTGCTGTGGAAGGGGGGGATCAGTGCAGCAGTGGCATCAGCCCTAAATCTCCATAGAAATTCAATTAATTTCCCATCGAAAAAAACTTCAAACAACTAAAAATAGCCACACACACGGCGAATAGCCTCGATAAAAGGGGAAGGGAAATTCTTTTGCCGATTTGTGGTTTATTTTTATGTAAATTAATCAAACCAAGGAGATCCATGAACATTTCGCTGCAACGGAATGCTATTAGAGGCAAATTCCTGTTCCTTTTGTCTATTCCACAAAAATTGCCGATAGATACAAAACACACACACACACACGCACACACACAGGCAGATTTGTATCTATTTTTACTGTGGGAGGGGGTAAAATGCCAGAGGAAGAGAGAGAGAGATGGAGAGAGAGCAACGGAGGAGGATTTGCCGTCATCGTCGCCTCCTCGACGTTGTCATAGCGAACCGAACGCAATTTCCTTCCTGCTTCTGCTTCTGCGTACTGCAGCAAATAGCTGTAATAATAAAACCGACGATCTCCTCCAGCCACAGCCACAGTCGCAGCCTCAGCCTCAGCCTCAGCCTCAGTCTTGGGTCCCTGCCTCTCTGTGTGTGCCGCCGTTGCTGCTGCCGCTGCCGCCTGTTTATGGCCGAAGACTCTTTGGGCTGTAGGATGCGACAAGAAAAGCAGGAAAAACTCCTTGGCCGCGGCCACACACAACCATCCACTACACACACACAAACACACAGATACAGATGCAGATGCAACTGCCAGTCGTTGTCCTATCACACAAGCACAAATCGTTGTATCTGTGTGTGTGTGTGTGTGTGTGTGCCTGCCGCCTATGTTTGTGGAGTTGCCTGTGCCTGGATCCATCCGATGGTATGGGATGGAATGGGGGTTCAATGAACTGCCGTCACCTCTTGGGGCAGCAGCGCCTTTGCCTTTGCCTTTGCCTAGCCTATGCCAGCGTCGGCAGCGACTGCGACTGCGAGTGCGAGTGCGAGTGTGGCAGTGCCGCACAATCCTTTTTCTTTGGATCTCTCCCATTGCACCCTTCACTTGATCTTTGCTGATCTTTTGCCTCTCTCTCTCTCTCTTTCTCGCTTCCTCTCGCTCACTCTCTGTGGATGCGGAATGCTGCCTCACAGGAGTCCGATCCGCTTCGCTCTCTCGGTGCTCTCAAGGGTTCCAATTCCAATTCCGATTCCATTTCAGATCTTTGACTGGGGCTGGGGGCTTTGGGTTTCACTCTTCGAGTGGGGATATGTAAACATCGTCGTCATCATAATCGCTGTCGTTGCCTGTGCCTGGGACTGTGCCTCAGACTGTGCCGGGGACTGTGCCTGGTCCCTGGGTCTCATTCTCTCTCTCTCTCCAAGGCTGTGCCTGTGCTGCTGCTGCTGCTTGGTTATTGGGGGATGGGGACATTTGGTGTAGTGGTGCGGGGGGGCTGGCTGGCTGGCTGGGATATGGGATGCTGACGCGTATCCCTTTCTGCCTTTCCCTGTCTGCTCTTTTTTTTCTTTTTTCTTTTTTCTGTGGAATGTGCCGCTTGTTTACTCAAATGTATATTTGATCTTCTGCTGGGGTAATTTTTGTGCTGCTCTA